ATGGCCTGGAAAGACTCGGCTACAAAACCTTCGGGTCGCTCCACAACTTCCCCTTCATCGGCGGGGTGGGTGCAGTTGAAAAATGGGATTCAGTCAACTGCGGGACATGCTGGCAGTTGACCTACACCAACGGCAGCGGCGCAAAGAAGAGCATCAACGTTCTGGCCGTCGACCACGCCGCGGCGGGGACCTTCAATATCGCACTTGAGGCGATGAATGCGTTGACCGGGAACCAGGCGGTGGAGCTTGGCCGCGTGAATGTGCAAGCTGCCCAGGTTGATAAATCGGTCTGCAAGCTCTGAAGGTCAGTGTCGGGCCTGTGGAAAGAGGATCAGTCGCTTATCGTTCGCAGTATATTTCACGTACATGCGAGAAAGAGCTTTGAGCCTTTGACCGAGTGCAAATATTTAATTTACTCAATACGCGTCTCCTTTTTGCAATGAATTGTCGGTGTCTTGTTTTCGAAACGCGGACTCAACCAGTCGAACGCCAACATTGATCTAATCACACAAATCAGACCCCGCTGATGCCAACTCAAGACTGTTTTTTTTTCGCTCTTACCACAAGTGGCACCAACCTCACTTACGCTTCCACGGGCAAAATACAAAGAACTCGTCAACAAAACTAACCTCGTGTATTCGAGCATGTCCGACGCCAAACAGAGGGCAGATGCGTTCAAGGACAAAGGCAATACTGCGTTCAAAGAGGGCAAGCTCCTCGAGTGCGCAGAGTTGCAGTTACACGGCAGAATCTATACTGACCAGATAACAGGGCCTCAAAACTCTACGCCAAGGTTCGTTGATTCATCCTCGTTTTTTTTCGTCGCGTTCTGACCTGCAACGTTCAGGCCGAAGCCGCAGCTCCCCTAGAACATGTGTACCCAGCAAACCTGAGCGCTGCACTATACGAGATGGGTGACTATGCGGCCTCTCTTGAGGCAATCTCTCGCTCGTGGCAGCTGTCCCCTGGTTCAAATGCGACGCTTGCGCTGCGCCTTTCGACGCGCGCCGCAAAGGCGCTGGCACACGGGGTCCGCGGGGGTGTTATCAAAGCTGGGTTCCTCCAGCACCACGCGCAGATGATCAGTCAGTTGGAGACTGTCGCGTCGCAGCAGGATGCGCCCCCCAACGGTCCCGAGGCGGAGAGCGTTCGCGTCTGGCGCGAGTGGCATGCGATTGCCACTGAAGGTGGCGATCGAAAGTCTGAGGCACAGGATGCCCGCGTGCGCTTAGCAGCGATTCCAATTGCGCGTCGCGGAGTGTGCGTCTTGATTTCTCTTTGAGTGGCAACAACAAAAAAACTGACGCGGCGCGACAGGAATCCGATGCTCCAGTATTACACTATGGGGCAAGACGAGATGCTCTCTCTTTTCGACGACTGGGGTCCCCGCGATCCCTATCCGCTGAAAATCAACACGTTCAGCAAGGCGCGACTCTCTGAGCTTTCATTTTTGTTTGGCGGCGTTGGAGATGGTATCTACCGCTTCCTTCCAAGTTCCTTCGTTCCGATGCTGATGTCGACCAGCCAGGAACGTGTACGCGACTCTCGTCGGGGCCCATCGGGCGTACAAAGCGCTACCGCAGGACAAGCGCTCTGCAATGCGTGTCCACTTGACGTTGCTGGACATTCACCCGAGTGCGCTCGCGCGCGATCTCGTCGTCCTCACGCTCTTGAACGACTGCATGACCGCTGGCGTCTCGTCCACGACGGTGGCCGAGATCAAGGCGACGTTGATGTACACCTACGCTGGCGCCGTCATGCCTCCGTACGCCCACGCACGGTCCGAGTTTCCCTTTTAAAAAACAACGCACTGTACTAATTTCGTTACAGACAGCAGAAGACGATTAAATCGCTCATGGAGCAGCTCGCGGCCGATCCCCCGCGGCTCCCCGCGTGGTTGCAAGTCAACGCTGACGCGATCCCCGCTCTCCAGGCGTCCCTCTCGTACTGGGTAACCAACACCACCAAAACGGCCCGCGGGATGCTTGCGATGTTCAAGCCCGACGGGGATCCGTCCCTGGTGCAGATGCTCAGGATGCCCGGGCTGACCCCGGGCTACCGCGCCCTGCTGCAGGCGAAAGTCGACAGGCCGTTGCGGCAGATTAATCAAGCCATTGACGCGTTTGGCCCTAACGAGGCGCGTGCCCTGGGGTTCCACGACCCCGCGTGGTCGGATGAGAGGGTTATGAGGGAACTGCGGGAGCGGCGGCAGCAAATCGTGGACATGATGCTCGAAGATCACCTCAGCGGGAATGGGCCTCCGCGCCTCAATGGCGAAGCGGTGTGGTTCAAGGCGACGCATGCGTTGCTTCCGCCCAAGGAGCTGTGGGGAAAGCACCCCGAGATCGAGCACTGGCAGCAAAACAGGAACGGCAGGCCTTATCCCGATGAGTTGAAGAGGCAGGTGGGTATTTTGTCGTCGAGGTTTTTATTTAATCCGATGTTCAATGTCCGACAGCTCAAGGCCACAGTCGAGAACACCTGGAAGCCCAACATGACGTTCTTCGTACGTGTCCCGGCTGTCTCTCTCTCTCTCGTTCGTCGACCGACCAAACCTGAGCAGGACCGCGAGTACTCTGAAGTATCGAACAGGAGTCTTCCGCAATGCAGGGGGTATCCCGACGTGCATTCCGACGGAATGGCCCTGCCGCGTTTATTCTACGCGTTCAACAGTCGTTTCGGTATCGACAGGGGCGGGGACCTCCCGCCTGATGCCGAGTCTCCGGTATACACGCACACTATGCGGTTCTTCCAGGGCGCGATGGATGCAATGAAGGCCCTCGAGGGTTCTATCAAGATAGAAATTATCTACGGCGGCCTGATGGAAGAGGTGGCGAAGATGAGCCTGGGAACGGACAGCAACCGTCCGGCCAAGTTCCCCAGGAAATTCACGAGGGCATACCTCAGTAATGTTCCGTGAGTGTTGTTCAAATGGTGTTCGTTGTCCTTATGCTGAATGGCGCCCAGGGACTACACCCACGGCGTAAGGATAGATACACAGTTCCATGCTCGCATGTTAACACATCATAACAGGTCTTGAATACCGCAGTCTTCGTCGTTCCCTGCCTCCAGGACCAGCCAGGGTCCGCTGTGGCCTCGAACAGCCTCTTGAATTCCAGCATCTGGAAGAACGACGACGAGTTTAACCACACGTTCGTGCCATCACCTAACTCGTCTTTTTACGCCCTTGAACCGACTCTGCTGCAGCTATTCTCTACTACATCCCCAAGACATCCCGAAATTCCTCGGCTGCGAGACGATTCGCATGGATGGAATCATGGGTATCGTATCCCTCGGAACGAAGACGCTGCCGCGTCCCGTCGGCGAGCTGGCGACGCGCCTTGAGCTTATCCGCTGGCTCACGCGCGTGTTCCTGTACATCTGTATCCCGGGAACATCCGGGATGCAGCAGGTACGCGTCCGCATGCCGAACAACCTCGTCGCCTTCGTCAGACTCCTCGTCCACCTGCACGCCGTCGGCTACCCCGGGCACTGGCTTGCCGAGTTCCTCCAGACGATTCTCTCAGATTCACTCGTCACCGACGTCGTCCCATACCTCGCGACGTTCCCGATCCCGCTCTCGGACCTCACTAGGAGCGGCCCATCGCGCAGGGTGCGCCTCGACCCGTGGCTCGCGCAGCTGGAGAACATCCTCGTCCCCGCGCGCGCGGGGCTGCCATTCGCCGTGGCGCTGCCGCGTGAATTCGCGCCGACGCACACGGATATCGCCGTTTACGAGGCCGTGGTTCAAACCAAGGGTCCGGACAGCTTTGGGATGTTCTCCGCCCCGGTTGAGGACCCCGTCGTCGACCTCCTGTTCTTCAAGCCGTCTAGGACGCCTAACGCGGACGCGCTCGCGCGACTCATTCCGAACATACTCGAGACGGCGAGTGAGGGGATCGTGCCGCGGGGAACGGTGTGCCTTTTGTCGTCGCAGGAGTTGGTGGATATCCCGGGTAGAAGGGTGAGCTGGCGCATGAGTAGGGAGCGGGTCCGGAAGATGCGTGCCGAGGGGTGGGTTATGGTTGTGTATCGCACGGACAACCGTCAAACGGGTATGTTTTGGTCCATTCCCTTCTCTACGTAGCCCTGATCCAGTTTCATTGCAGTGACTCTTCCCTTGCTCGCCACCCGATGGACGGAGGTGGTCGACGAACCGGAGCTCGATTAGGGCCAAAACTCAACTAACATTTCTTGGAACAAACCTGTACATAGAAATCTCGTCTGCCCTTCGCTAGAAAAATGAGAATCTGAATGACAGCTTTTCCGGTTGGTCTCAGTTCGAGTGTTATCCAGTGTTGTCGTCTTGTTGTCCTTTGGAAGCGGCCGATTGTTGCGAATATAATTGCTGCACCAACCCAATATATGAGTGACGCGCTTTCAACGCCGTTCAACTTTTCAACCATGGTAACGTGACACTGGTTGAACTTTTGTAGACGGCGCCAAAGGGTCATATCTATTAGTACCAGAGAGAAACTGCCTCACTGTTCCTGCTTCGTTCTACGACGGTTTAGAGATATCTTCCTGGAAGGAGCTTTGTGTCATGATCGTAGTACAGCAATTGTTCAGAGTTGTTGACTTGTTGCGAAAACCAACCCTAGCCGATGGCGTTCACATAAGAATGGTTTTGAAGTCCCCTCCGAGATAACTTGATGGATTCCAGGTGCTCAAACGGTGAAGTCCGTTTTCCGTGACGACTTAGTGCATTTTAACCATTTCTTTTTCCGAATGGAGGTGGCTGTGTTTTCGAGTTTACACTTGTTTCCCGGTGGTTGACTCGCCTCTTCCGACCTCAAAAGAACTGCAACGGCCGTTCTAAAAATTCTGAAAATATTGGAGGGTGTAGACGATATGTAGATACTGTCATTATACCAGGGTGAGGCAAATCGGGAAATGTAGGAGGCAGATATTGCACGTTGAACCCAAGAATTTGAACCCCGGCGTAGAACGGCTGAAATATGGGTTGGGAAGCTAGGGAATGCTCGCAAAAGCAAAAGGAATGGCCATCGTGGGGGTCGAACCCAAGACCTTCGCGTCACAAATTACGTAATCTGTATTAGCACGACGCTCTAACCAACTGAGCTAGACGGCCGATGGAATGATGTATCGGCGGCCCCTCATGGAATGCGGCCACACTCCCGTGTTCTCGACTATCCTCCAGCTCCTCTGCTCCCCGGCAAGCATTGCCGACTGCTCCCAGACGTGGCGGCTGCCGTCGTGTCGGTCCTAGCGACCTTATGTTCAGGTACGACATCACTTACCGTTCGCCAAATGCGGTCAACCTCGCTGTCAATCATCTCTTGGGTCCAACGTAGCAGGGTGAGTACGCGCAGCCGTAGCGGTAGCCCAGGTGTAAGGCAGATGGAGCAAAATGAGGCGAAAGCGCCTTTTGTTGGAACTAACCGAACTTGAACAGAACTGACCGAATTCAACCACCATCAATCAGTGATGCAATCTGACTCACGCAACTCCGACACTTGCTTCCTGCCACCACACCATTTCACGCAGTAAGCCTAGTACCCTTGCGGTGCACACAACTCTTTAATGCTCTTTTAGATAAACACTTCTTTATCCATATGCTCTTTGTGGCCAGATTCCCTCCGCCACACTGACACTTGAAGCCTATAACGCCGGGGCCCGTTGAGGCTTGGAGCTTGAAGGCCCGTCTTTCGGGGCCATCTCTATCTTCCCTCGGATGGTTATTCGCTTCGAATTCTGAACCGAGCATCGCTTTTCGCTGGAATACTGTGGCTTTCAGTTGTCTTGAAACTTGCGCTCTCGGCAATGGACATGCATGTGGAGAACTCACGACGATTCGGGCTTTCACAGCAATGCCATCGGTGATCTCCAGAATCTTCATCGCTGTGAGCAAGCTTCGTCCCACTCTAATCTCGACTGCAAGCTGAAGAAGTAATAACATTATACAGGATATATTCATTAGAGCAATACATGTGAGGTACTAACGATATAGGAAGAAAAGGCGTAAGGCGTTGCGGAAATGGTTGATGTAAGTACCCTAAACAGACCCCCAGTCGACCTGTTTGTAAGAAGGGGGTTCCTCGTTGCTCTCGCGTGCACGCGCGGCGAGGACATCGAACTTTGCGCCTTGAGTGTGGGTCGGCCCGCGCCGGAGAGCGGCAAATTCTTCCTGCATCCTCCGCCCCTGGGCCTCTAACTCCGCAACTTTGCGCGCCAACTCGGGATCCGGGGTGGCACCCTTTTCCGGCTGAGCGGTAACAGCGGAGGGGTGTGCGTAGCCAACGCCTCCTCCTTTCTGGCTCGACGGCGCCGGTTGAGCGGTAACAGCAAAGGGGTGTACGTAGCCAACGCCTCCTCCCTTCTGGCTCGGCGCCGGCGGGAGGGCCGCCTCCGCGTCGAGGGCAAAGGTGGTCAGGACGCGGCGCTTGCGCAGGCTCCGACGACGGAGTAGGAAAACGACAACCGCCAGGCCACCGAGGAGGGCGAGTCCGACGATTGCACCGATGATCACTTGGGTACGTAGCTGAGAGGCTGATATTGTGTTTTGATTATTCGAGGACGCGGACGTCGCCGATGATGATGACCTGCAGATTCGACAGCGAGTCAACCAATATTGTTACAGAATAGGACGGAGGAGCTCACGAAGCAGGAAATGTCACCGATGGGCCCAAAGCCGGACTGTCGCTGGCGGGGAGCGATGCACTTGAGGATGTCGTCGAAAAGGTTGGTGAACTCGGAAATTGCAAACTCCGATTTGGGTCGGGACTGAAATACAACTCGACGTAAATTGACCAGCGCACAGAGTGAGGTTGGAAAACGCACAAAGAGTCCGTAGTGGGGAGCGATATGCTTGCGGATGACCCCGGACAGACGAAGAAGCACCGGGTGGAAGTCGGAACAGCCGCGTCGCTGAAATAGAACTCGGCGTAAATTGACCAGCGCGTTGAATCTGTGCCAGTGCCGAAATTGCATACATACCTGGAGTCACCAGGACGTTCACCCGGAGGCGAGTTGGGCAGGCCAGTTTGCGTCGGGACGGAGACGAATGGGGTACCGGTTTCATCTGAAGTTTGGGCGAGTACGAGGCCGGCCAGGAAGAGTTGGAGGGCTAAGGAATGGACAACCGACGACGAGAATCTGTGGGTTACTTGTTACCAAAGAACGTCTGGCCAGTGAGGAAGGGACTTACTTCATAACCAATAGCGAATGTGGTGGAAGGAACCGGCCAAACGAAGGGGGATGGCAGAACGAAGACCGTATATATATAGGGCCAACGAATGCCCTTGTACTCTAGTATTACGGATGGGGTAACAGCGGCAATGAGGTTCGGTCGACGACGGTTCCGGTGTTGAACTTGACGGGTAACATAGCATGGACCTTGTGGCCGTGTTTGCAGTAACCTAGCTCCCGAAGGCCGGTCAGAGAGAGCAAGGGAGTCATTGTTCAATAAAGAGAACAAGGCGGTTATCGTCCAAAACGAGAACAAGGAAAGTGAAGTTGTTGTTCTGAACAAGGGCATCTTTACGGAATTCAACCACCATCAATTGATGACGGAACACCCCGTTTCCTCTCGCTACCACCACGGCGGCCTTGTTCAGACACCATGCAACTGCCAACTACCCTGCAGACTAGGGCGACTCTCTCTCCGCTTCCCACTATGCCCTCCGAGCTCCTCTGTGAAATATTCCGGTGGACTAAACCGTCCCTCACCCATATCGACTTTCCGATCGGCGCACGGACTCTTGAGGGACATATGCCGCCGTTGGAGGACAGCTTCCATCACCGATCCTTCAGCGCCCACGACCCCGTCTCTCACTGATTCCCACCAGCCATGATCAAGACGCTGGCCTGGAATCCATGGGTTCATTTTTACTGTGACGGACACGAAGCCGCAGCTTCTGCGCCGCAGGTCGAGATACTCGAGTGCCTCCCTGAACGTTCTTCGGACTGGGAAGAGCTGCCTCAGACTGAAGCTCCTCCTATCCTCGCCCGACTGGATCATCTCCCGATACTGCGCTGGGCTTGGGTCCGTGAACAGCAGTCAAGCTGGAGCGGAGTCCTTCAATTGCTTCGAAACGGCCCTTTCCGTGGTCGACATCAGCGTGTACGACGAGCCTTCGAGCGAGCTGCTGTGACGAGGCATATCAACTGCTGGACAATCTGACTGTTTCTGGCGACCCGGATGGCGGCACACCTGAGAACGCTTTGACTTCTTGTGAACAGAACAATATTCGTATCGACTCCGATTCAACCACAACTTGGAAAAGGAACATCATACCGAATTAATTCAGAGAGATATTCAACGCGGAATGGCCGAATGGTCATTCGCCGTTCGGCTCGAGTCGATTGTTGGCATCATCAATCACGTACAGTTGTGACGCGACTTGCTTCCAACCACCATCATCTCGTCCGCCAGAGCTCAAAGTAAGTTCCAAACCTCAATCCGCGGTAGAGCGACCATGCTCATCTTCTTCAGATGGATTCCCCGGGATTGCGAAAGAGTTCAGCGGCGGAAATAATTTCACTCCTGCCGTAGGAACGCGACACCACGAGCTCTTGAACTCGAACGAAACTCCGCTGGACTCAGAAATCTTGCTCATAAAATCCACCACCTCTCAAATTGACGCGCGAATGATCACGATCGATGAGGAAATAGCGTTGCTCCATCGTCGCCTGCAGCAACTGACGGACGAACGTCAATCGCTCGTTCGTCTCCGTTCCCAGAACAGCACCATAGGCTCCCCACTCCGGCGCTTCCCGCCTGAGGTCCTGGCCGAAATTTTCACGTGGACGTTGCCGGCTCTTTGGAGTATGTCTGGCCAGGGCTTCAGCTCCAATGACAGCCCATGGCTCTTGACCCACGTCAGTCGCAGCTGGAGAGCAATTGCCATCTCAACTTCCTCATTGTGGTCGCTGGTGTTCATCGACTACGGTCACTTGGATCCGGCTGGATTATACCCACTGCCGATGCTTGAAACGCATATCTGCCGAGCGCAAAGGCTGAAGATTCACTTTTATGGCCAAGAACGTTGCGATCATGCACCCCAGACCGAGGTGTTCAAGTACCTCGCATCGCACTGTTCGCGATGGGAGGAGCTGAGCCTTGGCTTGACCTCTGCCCTTGTCCCTCTTCTCAGCAGTCTTCAAGACCGCATCCCGTCGCTTCGCCGGTTGCACATCCAGTGGTCGGAGGAGACGAGCCAGGCCAACCTCGATTCGATCGATTGTTTCCATCGGGCACCGTCTCTTACGGATACCTCGGTATTCAACGAATTCCGCCCTGTGCCCATCCGCTTACCGGTCCAGCAGCTCACCGCTTATCGCGCCGACCACTCATGGGAGGTCCATCAAGGTGTGATTGGGCTGGCACGGAGCCTTGTCGAACTCCGGATAGACATAGGCTTCGACGACGACGAACCGTGGCCAGAAGTCACAGAGGTCATACACTTACCTTGTCTCCGTCGCCTCTATGTGAACCGCTCGAATGTCCTCGACTTTCTCGACACACCGGCCCTCGATGAATTCGCCCTGAGGCTCTGGAGTGGTGATGGAGACGAGATCCAGGGAATATTCGGACCCTTCGCCGAGCGATCGGGATGTACACTCCGGCGGTTATGTTTCTATGGCTGTGTCGAGGCTGCCACGCTTGCGGAAATGCTGAAAGCCACGGCGAACGTGACAGAGCTAGTGATTATCAAGTCACTTGAACTTGGCGAGGAGGGCGATGATTTCGCTCTCCTAGCCATGCTGACTACGTCCCCGGAGACGGCCGACGTCGCGCCGCACCTGCACTCGATTTCTCTGGGATGTGAGCGGGACAACACACTCGACCCCACCTTGTGCCTAGCGATGATTCACTCCAGATGGAAGCTTCCGCACCGGGCCCTCAGGGCTGCTGCACTCCTTTCAGCCGAGCCTCTGGGCCCTGTCGACGACTTGAACATGCGACGGGAGGGACTGGATCTTCTTGTTCTTGATGGGCCGGTGGCGGAGGAAATCATGAACGACTGGACATCAAGCGGGTTGGAATTGAATCGTTCATATCTACTCTCAACAAACAATTGATAATCGACTTGGACTGAAAACTTTTGTCTCTTAGACTCCTCTCCCCTT